ACAGAGGATTCAGCAGCTTCAAGACAACAAAAAGTCTCACTGAGTGCCCCTATGCTTTGGCAGGTAGGTAATTTATTGATGCCAGTAGGAAATTACAAATTGGTACAAGCTGGAAAGAGATTGAAAATATATAAACCACGTAAACTGGTTTATATTTGTCAGCCTTGTATGTAATGTGGTAACTGTAATGCATGTATTTCCTCGTTCCAAAAACATTTCAGTGTTCCCTTGATCCATATGCTCTGAGCATGTCAGTAACTTTACCTACTGCTCGTATAAAATAAAATCACAAGAAAACCTCTCTGTACTTCTTGAACTCTACAAGGAGTGGAACTTTCACCAGGTCATGCTAATGTGACAATGTGATACAATTAGTTTGGATTTTAAAAAGATGTTTTAAGAATTAGACTTCTGTATTTTACACATTTTTGATCTTTGCATTGAAGGGGAAGCAAGAAAATTTCGTGAGGCAACAGTTTCCTTCTTTAAAGAAAACAGGGTCAGAAAATTGTTTATTTGTTATTATCATTTGTCACATTGTAATTGACATTTTTATATATAGAATAGTTCTCTAAAATAAAAGTTGAAACTGTCTATTATCTTAAAATGGCTTAGTCTCTCTCCCAATTCTCAGAGTAAGAAACCTATAACCCACTTTTTCATTATATAGTTTCATTTGTATAAACATGGTTACAAATCACAGTAATGTAAAACTTGCATTGGCAATCTCTCAGTTTGAGCCACAAATTGATTTCCTGCATTGGAAATAAATTTTCTCTCTCTCTTTTTCTTTTCTTTTTTTTTTTTCCTAGTGTAAAATACATTACAGCTTTAGATTCTGTGGAAAAACTGTCAGATATTTTGGTTGGGTTTTTCTGCAGGTTATACATATAGTGTGGAAATAATCTTTATGTTCTAATTTGTGCAGTATCTGGCACAGTGTCAGCTAGTTCACAGCTTGGGCTTTGAAGCATTACAGCAATGCAAGAAACAAATACTAAAAATACTTGATTATAGATAATTCACCATATCTGGCATCTCTCACAGCTAGACATGAGCTGGCTTCAAACTGGAAGCCTTGCAAACATATTACCACAGCACTGCACTCAGTCTAGCAAGTCCAAGATCCCGACAGGGATCATCAGTTTAAGCACAGCACTGCATTAACCTGCCTATACGGCTTCCAGTCTGCCATGGGCTCACATCCCACTGGCCTGGAGCCTGGAGAGGTTGAGTCTGTCTGGAGAAACACTCACAGTTATTTAGAGTAGCATGAAGAGCCGTTCAGATACAGAAGCTCCACTTGCACATTTCTCATTCTACCACCACCAGCCTCATATAAGCAAGTCAGCCCAGATCCACTTGCAAACTGCAGCTGCTCTCCTCTGCTTCGGCACAGCAAACTAGTCAGTATTTCCTAGAAAGTCTGCACCACTTTGGCACACTAAACAGGCCATTAAAAATTAAAACAAAAGAACTGAACTTTGCAGCATTAAGATGCCAAACTAACTTTCCATAGCTTCAGATCACCGAAACACAGAGAAACATAGCAAGAGTAGGCAATACTTTCTTAAAGTGCTCCATGTATCAGTCCCAAAGAGAAAACATATTCCACGACAAAACATTCCAGCAAAAAAGAAAATCATCTTTCTGGATATGGATTGATAACATGAGGGAAAGAAATGGCAATCACAGATTCACAGAATTAGAAGTCAGAGCTAATTCACACATTACATTAAAAGAAACCCAATCAGAGTTACATATGGAAATAGAGTGCCACATTATACAAACCACATTCCTTCTGTCTTGTGACAGTACAATAGGCAGAATGAAGGCATTAAAGAAACTACCAGATTTTTAGTTGTAAAAATTAAGTGCCTTAGACATAACTGTGTGCTATTTTGTGGTATTACTGAATGCAAGTATAAGAACAAATCCAGATGCATGCATTTCTCGATTCAACTCTCCAAGAAGCATTCATTCCTACAGAGGGTGACTGCACTTTCCATTATTAGCAGTTTCAGATTCCCCTCACAGAGTTCCAATGCTGACAACAGGCAAAAACTACAAGGATAACTTCTTAGGTTTTGGTCACAAATCCCCATCAGTTTTTTAAATAAACAAATATATAAGTATGTGCATACAACAGTTAAGGGAGGGAGAAGGATTTCACTCTCGTGGAAGGAGCTGGGTAGATAAATCCTGGAGATGTGACACTTTCTACAATACAGGAAACTCTGGCATAATCACTATTTCCGTCAATGTTTTTAGCTGTTCCAAGATCACTGATCACGTGTCAACTTTTAATGCCATACACTAAATACCCTGTAAATCACAGACCTGTCAGGATGAGATTTTTAACTGCAGAATTGAGTCAAACTAAGGCATTTCAGTAGCAATTAAGGTAGTTTAGTAGCAGTTAAAGTGAAGAAAGTGACAATTCTGACCCAGCAGAGGGGCTCACTGCCTGCTAGAAATCGTAGGTAACATTCATTCCCTTCCTCACATTGTACAGGGAGTTTCTGAGTCCACCTTTCCCAGTTAGGCAGAAACTGCAGTGAAATTCAAGGAGGCTCATCCCACCTAAAAAGCACAGCTCTGTATTCTAAAAAGAAATGTCTTCAAACACTAATGTGGCATTCAAATGTTGGACATGATCCACTGTAAACAATATGTTTTATGTAAGCGTTAACCAAAACCATACCCTGTTTTCTACATTCCCACAATCTTGGATTACTTAGGTTACTGGCACAAAATTGTAGCTTTCTTCAGGACAGTCAGCCCCATGGGTCAACTTGATTCCTTTGAAATATTACAAGCTATAGTTTCTGAAATTTTAACCATAACTGTCTTCCACAGAAAAGCTCATGAATTTTTCTAGAACAAATCCAGGCTATTTAATTTGTCATTTTCCGGTGCTGGTTTTTCCTTTTTTTTCAAATAAAGTTTTTCTTCCTAATTTGACAATGGAGTTAAAAAGACTGGAAATAATTATTATAACACATGACACTACAACCAGTACCTATATTCTCAACTTCCATATGCACACCTCCCACAGTATGGTATTTTCTAGAAATCTCTACCCCTTTCTGGTGACTGCAACTAATCTTCAGAAACAGAGCCATAAGGCAGGAATGGACTTATAAATTAGACTTCAGCCTGAGCCAGCTGCTTTTTGCTAGCATTATTCCCTTTATGACCATCTGTCCCACCTGCTAATACACTTTTCCCCTCACACACACTCTCCACTACAATGATTTGCCATCCTGGCTGACATACAAGTGCCAATTGGAAAGGAACTTGGATTAAATCCAACTTTGTGCTACCTAATATTTGGAGCTTTGGTAAGGCACCTGCTTGACTGTTGGTATAATTAAATCTGCCTTAAGTCTTCTTTAGTGTATGCCCAGTTCACCTCTGACCCAAACACCACCAGAGTTGGTTGCCACTTTATCTTCCTCCTGCACTGCCTGAATAAGTGAAAGAACCTGCTCAGTGTTGTTACAGAAGAGTCTCCTCTCCTTAAAGCAATTCTTGCTCTCAGATCCATCAGATTTATTTTGTCTATTTGTTGAAGGTGAATTCACAAAATCCTGCAGTTGTCACTTGTGAACTCTTGGGGTTTCAAAACTGGCTGCATGCCTGGTTTTGTCAGCATTTTCTGAATCATCCTAAATTTTCCTACTTTGGCAGAATTGCCAGAGAGACACAATTCAAAGAAATGAGGAAGAGAAGAACTGGGAAGGGCTGAGAATGAGGAAACAGAAAATAAATGGCATGTTGCTACACGGTGAAATTCCGTAGTCATGGACTCTCAAGAATTCCCTGCTGTTTTCAATGACACCAACATTGGAATAAACCTTACCAAGGAGTCCAATTTGAAACATTTATTCCACTTATCTGCTTAAAGCCTGACAACTGAAAGGGAAATAGCTACTTTAGCATAGTTCAGAGGACTGCATAGCAGTGACACCACCCAAAAAAATCAGGAAGAACATGACAAAGTGTATAATTATAATTTCATCTCATGTACTGCTGACAGTAGTCAGAAATAACAGGAAAGGGATTGCTGAAAAAGCGCAAGTGAGGTCACCTTTTTCTGGGTGCTACTTTTATATGCCTGCAAAATATAGAAGAGGCTTTTTAAAGGCTGTAATCTGAGGAAAGAGAAAGAATTACAGATGTGTGACATAAGGAATAAAGGAAAAAGAAATATAAAAGGCATGAAAAAAGGAAATGAGCACAGTGTAGAATTCAAAGGAGCACGTGCTGACAGGCTTCACATTTCCAACAGAAAATTGGAATTTGACATCTGTGTTCATACAGTGTTTAAAATGAGCTCTTAGTTACTTGCACTGCATTCAGGAAGGAGGAAGAAGAAAAGAATGATATCTTAACTGAGCTCAGTTCTAAGCATAAGATTAAAATAAAAAAAAAGGGATGCAATTTCATGTCAGTTCCCGGCAGCTGCTCAGCATTCCTTATTATCATGGGTCTGTTTGCTTGTGGAGTGCTCATAATGTGGCAGAGTTGCAGAGTGCTTTGGAGTCCTTCTGAGATCCTTAGCTCTGCAACTTTGGGACTAGATGGAATAAACCTTGTTTTGAACACCATTCATAATGCCAAAGTTTAACAAGTAATAGAGTGCTACAGAAGTGTTGTTTGGGAAAAGACCTTAATGGGGGAAATAAATCCTTATTTCTATTGTATTCGAAGCAGATAAGAGTTAAAATTAAAGTCACTTATCCCATTTAAATTTTAATTACTAACCTCTTAGCTAGTACCTGAAACTATAATAAAGTTTTTCTTGTAACATTCTTAACTTCTACATTGAAAACATGTTCAGCAAAAGCAACTTACAGAATTATTTACAGAATTATGACAGTCAAGCATGTCAGTAGCTCTGAAAGCCTGCACAACAACAATTAGCATGTTATGGATACTGGCTGGTACCGTCCGCTGAAATGCTTCAGACGGTCATCTTTTAACAAAAAACACACCTTGAAAGAGTCAGTCACATGCTTTGCTGTTTCTTCTGAACATCCTCCGCCTGTGCACTCATTCTGACAGCCCTGGAAGAAATAAAACCAGAGGAAATCAAATTCAATGCACATTGCAGAAAAGTTGATACACGCATTCAGTTAACTCATTTTAGGGTCAGACTGCATTGAATGACCATTCAGACTTCATCATCAGTAAATATATTAGCAAGAACTTTGTGGTAGTTTCTTAGCACAACTTCCTACTCTCTCTGTTTTCAGTTTTGCTTCAGTTGCATTATTTTGCACAACTGTGTTTCAGGGTTTTCTAGGAGAGACAACATCCTTGATCAGATTATTACTCTGAAGCACAGAAGGATATGGACAACATCACAAGTCTTTCATTCAAAGCTAGATAATAGTGTTTTTACACAATTTTATCAGAGTCAAGTTTTCTCTACATTTGCCTGTTCTCAGAGAAGCCTGAGTAGGTAGAATGAAAGGAAAAAGAAAGAATTGGTTTTATTAAATCCTTCATTAAACAAAGACAGTGATAAGGAATGCTCACCTATACGAATAAATAATGAGAATAATTTGAATTATCTACTGTGTTAAACTTCAGGCTTTTGCCACTGACTACACTAGAAAGGAACTGCAACAAAAAAACCCAAACCACCAACAAAAAAAGGAGTGTTAGTTCCAGGCATCCTTCTGTTCAGCAGCAGAGGGATGACACAGACAGAGACACTAAGGGATGTTGTTGTCAGGGCTGACAAGCAAGGGACTTTCAACCCTCCAAGTGAAAAGCCCTCCTGCGACCCTGCAGTGGCTGCTCACCTCTTAGCAGCTACTTCCCACCCTGCCACCCCTCAGCCTTGCTGCATCTTAGGTGGGAAGTCCCAGGACACAGGTATAATCCCCTGAAGGAAAGATGCACAGGAAACCTTCCATGGTCTGCCTGTGAGATCCCTGCTCCAAGCTCTTACCCAGGGAGCAGCCCCCACCTACAAGGAGGGCTGTGTGCAGGTGGATGTCTGTGTCAGGGAAACAGCAGCCACCAAACTGTGTGACCAAGGCTGGGACCACATGGATCATGGGCATTGAAGCATGACACACACAAGGCAAATAACATTTTCCCTTTTTGCACGTCATGGGGATATGGTATAAAAAGAAAAGTAGTATCTTCAGTGGGCCTTCGACAGCTTGCAGGCTTGCTATCAACAAAATAAAAAGCCAAACCCCCAGGCACAGCAGATCTCACTTCCTCTCCCCTTACCCCAAGGCCCCAGGGAGCCCACAGCATCCCTCCTGCCTTCTCAGCATCAGCTTTAACCCTTCTGTTCCTCTTTATTTTTAACCCTCTACAGAGAGACAGACAATCATGGCTAAAGGGTCCTTCCTATCCACTAAAGAAGAGAAATCACAAATCTCTTTACAAAGTACCAATATGTTTTACCTTTTATTAAAAATATGAGGGTTTTAGCTTGAAAGCTTAGTGTATTTTGCTCCAGAAACACAAGACTTTGATAGAGTGTTCACTGGCATTCACATCAGACCTTAGCAGGACCGAAGTGTTATCCAAATCGAGGGACTCTCTGAGGGACATTGAATAATAGTATGTCCTTGCTTTCCCTGTGATTCTTCAAATACTTCCAAATTCAGTGGTAAAATTCCCAGAAGGCTTTCATGACACCACCACTTAACAATAGTTAAGTACCCTGCAGATTAATTAAGCCAACTGATTTTTTCTTTGCACTGCAATGAATTAGGATGGAGAGCGTGCTGGTTACCAGCTAACACGGATGGGAACTGCCAGCTGAGGACCAAGAATGTCTCAAGGAGCTCCAGTTCCACTGCTGGCTTTTGTCTAATATCTAGCATGCCAAGTTGGATTTTCTAATCATAATTACTGGTGACAGCAAATACTGACAAATGCTCAACCATTATGCTTCAGTTTCTTCCTGTGTCTCCTTTATTATGAAGTTGCCCTAAAGCAAGTGTTGGCATCAACACAGAGAGGACTGAAGCTGGATACAGTTTAATATCCTCTTTTATGATCTTCTTTAAAGATACCAAACTATTACGTGAATTTCAAGTACAGACCACCTACAGGAGCAGCCCCTGGGGGCTCAATCATGTTGCCCTTTCAGTTCAAGGTTCCCATTAAACAGCCCAATTTTTGGGCATGTGCCACGGGGCCAATCCTGTTCTCCATGAAGTCATTATGTTTTACAGATTTAACTCATATTTAAAGCAAGTAGCTAACTGCCTTTGTTAACCGCATTGAGATTAAATTGAGTTAATCCCTCGGCACTAGAAATGCATAACACAATTACTTTCTAATTGATGGAGTCATATTTTAATGGCTCCATGGCTTATAAATCTGAAACATGCTAAATGCAATAGGGAAAATTGCTCCCTGATTTAGTACCAGCATTGCCAAGGGAGGTATGCCAAGCATAAATCTGCCCTTTGTGTTTAATAGCATGGTAGATTTAAAAGTGCATCCATTAAAACAATGATGTTATCCTAAAGATACATTTGAGTCACTGGATTAACATCTTCTTAAAAGTCACTCAAGACTGTATAAACTTGCCATGAAATTACACAAACATGACAGTTGTACACAAGCACGACGCATTTCCTATGTCATGTTGTAGAGCTATGGTATATATAACTACTTTTTCTAGATTGAAAATAGAACAGTATTTCAAAGTTTTCCTTCAAAGATACTGAAAATGCACATTCATTTTACCATTCCTGTAAAGCCTATAGGAGAAAAAAAAAAAAGTGTAAAGCATTACATTGGGTTAAACTCTATTAAAAAAAAAGAGGGTTATGTGTCATTTTATCACTGTGAAATTCTACTAAATTTTATGCCTAATGGTTGTCATCTGCACTTCTGCTAGAGGTTTCCCAAACCCTGACATTCAGTTCCTGTATTTGGTCTTCAAACTACCTTAGATATATATTTTTTCAACGTCTTTTAGCATCATGACCCTGTCTCTTGGCTACCCCGCTGTCTTTGGCACACCTTCTCTACCTCTTCTGCTCAGTCAGGTTAGTTATCCTTCAGCTAAAAGGCCGTTCTGCTGCAATAATAGACCCATCTCCTCCCCAAATTCCCTAGGTTTCCTAGAATACATGAATCTGCCTTTGCTTTTCCCGTGCCTTCACATTTAGTGGCTTTTGAGACACCCACTGTGAGCACCAATTTCCTTGTTCTCATTTGGGACTATCTGCTCTGTAAACTGCAGTTCCAACAGATGCTTTGTCAAACCACTGCGCTTGGGTTTTAGATACACCGTTATCTCTCTGGTTCACCTTCAGTTATGAAATAGGAACTGAAGATTATCAGAAACTTCATCACTGTAAGCATAAGCTACAAACTGCACTTCTTTATCTATAGTGCATGAGATCATTTAATTAATAATAATTTTAAAAAGTTTCCATTTCTCAAACAAGTTTTGCAGTTACCTCTATGTGCCATGTACTTCGTCAACCTTTTTGAAAGAAAACTAATTCTTTAATCAGTTCCACACTCATTAATTTTCCCTTTTCACACTTTCATCTAGGAAATTATTTGGGCCACTTTTCAAAACAATTCAAGAGCTGCAGCTTCAGAAAATCCTTAGTCTTCTTTTTTTGTTTCACCAGTCAGCTTATAGAAGTCAGCCCACAGACAGCTCCGATGCCTCCACTCTGAGTGAGAATTTCATCAGCAGCACCACTGCCCTGGTAGAGAACTGCCACTGACAGGGAACATCTGAAAACCCAATTTTGTGCCCATGAAAGAATCACAGACAGTGCTTTTTTTGGGCAAACATTGGCTATTCATGGAGGACAAGAACCTAAAGAAGCAAATAAATGACAGATGCACAGCTGTGACTGCACAGGGTTCCTTCTACCAAGGCAACTCCATCTCCTGCTATGCAGAGAAACTTAAAAACAGGACCATCTTATAGCAATCATCAGGCCCCAGCAAAGCTGGAGCGGGAGTTTCCTCTGAAGTCGTATGAAAGACAATTTTCAATAAAGAAAGTCCTTCCTGAGACATTTCTCCAAGCTAAAACATTGTCTTTACTGCTTTTTCCCATGCTTGTTTCCGGCTACTAAGTGTCTGAGAAATATTTCGTGCTCTAATTTGCACTGGAAGGATAATGAAATTAGAATACTTATCAGATTGCAGGAATGCAGCAGATCAGTAAATTCAGTGCACAACTCACACTATGGCACTGCCAGGGGTGTGATGACCAGCACTTTGTCACTCAAAGCCACACAAATCAGAGTTGTCTTTCTGGACCAGGTATAGAACAGAGTCCAAGGTGCACCAATGCCATATTTTCTGTGTATTGCTGCAGTCTTATAAAAGCACCACCACGACTTCAAAACAGCTTTCATCTGTCCCAAAGAGATGTTAATATGTGTTGGCAGCCACACCACATAAAAGATGAATTTGAAGAAAAACAGAACAGTAATGATGTTCACAGCTTATTAAAAAAAAAAAAAAAAAAAAAAAAAAAAAAAAAAAAAAAAAAAAAAAAAAAAAAAAAAAAAAAAAAAGAATCCACACACTGTCAGACAGAGATAAATTCTGAAAATTGCTGTAGGGTTGAGTCCTATAATACTATTTTTAGTATCAACTAAAAAATATATTTATTTAATGACATTTGTGAAAGACTTCAGAGTTGAAGAAGCTCATTTATGGAATGATGAGGCGCATTAACCTCAGCTGTCATGGGAGTAGCTGCATGATATAAAAATATTTTAATTCTGTCTTTATATTACAGGTATGTGAAGAGGAACATACACCTATATATGTGTTACTGTGCAAGTGTCTCCAAGTATATTCGTTGTGCTGGGTCATTTACGTGACTGAGCAGCACAACTTACCCACCAGTGCCTTTTAAAGCTGCTCTTTTCAAAACCAAGACGAAAGAAGCAAGATGACTTACTCTTAAATGATATTTCTAACCACTTATCAAGCCAAACAGAGACCTTTGAGGCATCTTTGTTAGACTGGGGCACTCTCCAAGCATTGGCTTGCCACTCTTCAACACGAATTCAGAAGGTGTACGGCACAATATCAAGGG